TGCCCGGGTCACGGCAGCCAGGGAGGAAAGGCCCCCCGGGGCTACATGATGCTGCGAGAGGCGACCGCGTGTCAAAGACACCCCGAAATACAAGGAAGGAATAATGGCAGACGGTTCGCACCACTCGTGAGAACAGGAATTGTACATTTTGCACAGCAAACTGCTTGTTGTCGCAATGACAGACACGAGTGCTTTACAAACACAGCCTTCAGGGAGGTATCTACCATGAATTAAATAAAAACGAAACCAGCTAGAGATCTAGCACGGCATGTATCACTGGAAATCAGCCGAGTAGTTTAGACATCTGGGTTATTGCAAACAAATTGTCTAATGCCAGTCAGGAACAAAATACCGTGCACGCAATGCTGCTCGTGCTTTAAAAACAACGCAATCGGCTGCGACAACGCTGAGGTTCCTCCTCTGCAAATCTGGTGCACGCACATATAAACACACGCGCGCGGCGCTTAGGCTGACACGTGCCTTCGGCAGGGCCACGCTCGCGTTTAACCTAAACGCAATGCTCAAATGTTGGGCGCGCAGGAGCTCGCCCCTTTCTGCAGGTTGCGTTAGGAAAACAGCAGCCCAAACAAGGCGCTGGAGGTGGGTGTCTTCCTGCCAGGCATGCAACCGTACGGAATTACCTTCTGAACTTTCAAAAATTAAAGCCACTTCAATTGTTTTGCATTTTTGACCATCAAACTCCCCTAGCGCCAACACGCAACACGTTTCCCAAACAGAAAGTCCCCTTCTTCCCCTTCCTGAGCTTAAGGCTCACATTATTACAATACAGCCTGTAATTGAAAACCTTTATTAGTAATACTAATTAATGATTATGCTCTAGCAATCACGGCAGATAAAGCAGCTTACCTGGAATAGCAGGACAGACTGGTGCTAACGACAGTGTTAAACACCGCAATGGGGACGTAGCAGCGGTGGAAAGTGCTGTTGACCCATTCTGCTGGGAAAATGTACGCCGAGTATGCCAGCGCGGACCCTGGAAATACAGGAGGTGCCCGGTTAGTGCCGGGTCCCGCCGGGACCCTCAGCATCCTCCTGGGCACGGCTGTGAACCTTCGGATCGGCACTTGGCACTGGGCGCTCTGGGGAAAGGGAGAGATGAATTACAGTAGGTGAGCAGCTCCACAGCCAAGGGGAGCATCAGGCAGACGTCTGATAGCCAGCTCCTGCAAACACCTTGCCACGAGGAGCCGGAGAAGACCCTGGCTGCTGCTGCTGCTGCTGCT